AGAGATCTCTAGTCTTTCTCATTCTGTTTTCCTCTATTTCTTTTCATTGTTCACTTAGGAAGGCTTTCCTATCTCTCCTTACTATTATTTGGAACTCTGCATTCAGATGGATATATCTTTCCTTTTCTCCTTTGCCTTCTCTTCTCTTCTCAGCTATTTGTAAGGCCTCCTCAGACAACCACTTTGCCTTTTTGCATTTATTTTTCTTGGGGATGGTCTTGATCACTGCCTCCTGTACAATGTCACAAACCTCCATCCATAGTTCTTCAGGCACTCTATCAAATCTAATCCCTTGAAACTATTTGTCACTTCCACTGTATAATTATAAGGGATTTGATTTAGGTCATACCTGAATGGTCTAGTGGTTTTCCCTTCTTTCCTCAATTTCAGTCTGAATTTGTCAATAAGGAGTTCATGATCTGAGCCACAGTCAGCTCCTGGTCTTGTTTTTGCTGATTGTATAGAGCTTCTCCCTCTTCAGCTGCAAAGAATATAATCAATTTGATTTCAGTATTGACTATCTGGTGATGTCCATGTGTAGAGTCGACTCTTGTATTGTTGGAAGAGGGTGCTGTCTATGACCAGTGCATTCTCTCAACAAAACTTTATTAGACTGTGCCCTGCTTCATTTTGTACTCTAAGGTCAAACTTGCCTGTTATTCCATGTACTCTTGACTTCCTATTTTTGCATTCCTCTGTCCCCTGTGATGAAAAGGACATCTTTTTTTGGTGTTAGTTCTAGAAGATCTTGTAGATCTTCATAGAACTGTTCAACTTCAGCTTCTTTGACATTAGTGGTTGGGGCATAGACTTGGATTACTGTGATACTGAATGGTTTTGCCTTGGAAACGAACAGAGATCATCCTGTCATTTTTGAGGTTGCACCCAAATACTGCATTTCAGACTCTTTTATTAACTATGAGGGCTACTCCATTTCTTCTAACGGATTCTAGGCCACAGAAGTAGATATGATGGCCATCTGAATTAAATTCGCCCATTCCAGTCCATTTTAGTTCACTGATTCCTAAAATGTCGATGTTCACTCTTGCCATCTCCTGTTTGACCACTTCCAACTGACCTTAATTCATGGACCTACCATTTCAGGTTCCTATGCAATATTGTTCTTTATAGCATCGGACCTTACTTCCATCACCAGTCACATCCACAACTGGGCATTTTTTTCACTTTGGCTCTGTGTCTTCATTCTTTCTGGAGTTATTTTTCCACTCTTCTCCAGTAGCATATTGAGCACTTACCGACCTGGGGAGTTCATCTTTCAGTGTCATATCTTTTTGCCTTTTCATACTGTTTATGGTATTCTCAAGGCAAGAATACTGAAGTGGTTTGCCACGCCCTTCTCCAGTGGACCACGTTTTGTTAGAACTCTTTTTTATGACCCATCCATCTTGGGTGGCCCTATATGACATGGCTCATAGTTTCATTGAATCAGAAGTGACTTAGTATGCACACATATACACAGTGTTGGGGAGGGTGGTAGAGGGGGAGGCCTAAAGGCAAAGATTTTTTATGTTTAAATTTCTCTTGTCTTGCTATAAACCATGAATTTTATTTTACAATAGTGAGACCAAGTAAATTGAAACATCAGAGTTTGGAGCAGAGAAAGCTTTATTGCAGTGCCAAGCAAGGAGAATGGGTCGCTCATGCTCAAAACCCCTGAACTTACTGATGATTTCCAGTTGCTCAGTCGTGTCTGACTCTTTACAACCCCATGGACTGTAGTCCACCAGGCTCCTCTATCCACAGGATTCTCCAGGCGAGAATACTAGAGTGAGTTGCCAGGCCCTCCTCCAGGGAATCTTCCCAGCCAAGAATTGAACCCAGGTCTCCCGTACTGCAGGCGAATTCTTTACTGTCTGAGCCACCAGGGAAGCTGAATGAAGTCTATTTTCTATAAAAAAGAAAGGAAGACACAGAAGAGCTTTGCAATGAGGCGGGCCCCACAGAGTTTGTTTCAATGTGTCCCAGCCAGCATCTCTTCTGAGGGGGCAAATAACTCCTTTTTCGAGTAGAGCTGATCCAGCAAATCCAACAATATTGCTCGTTCCTAGCTTCTGCCAAATTGAAGGGAGAAGAAAGGCAACTTGTCCTTTGGACGCTGAAGAACATTTGTTTGGGTTCTATAGTCTGGAGGAGCTAGCTGCACTCAACTTTCTTTATGGTCCAGCTCTCATATCCATGGGCTTCCCTGGTAACTCAGCTGGTAAAGACTCCACCTGCAATGCAGGAGACACAGTTCGGTCCCTGGGTCAGGACGATTGCCTGGAGAAGGGATATACTACACACTGCAGTATTCTTTGCCTTCCCTGATGGATCATATGGTAAAGAATCAGCATGCAATGCAGGAGACCTAGGTTCGATCCCTGAGTTGGAAAGATCCCCTGGAGAAAGGCATGGCAACCCACTCCAGTATTCTTGCCTGAAGAATCCCCATGGTCAGAGGAGCCTGGCGAGCTATATATAGTCTATGGGGTCACAAAGAGTCAGACACGATGGGTAACTAAGCATAGTACATTCATACATGACTACTGGAAAAAGCATAGCTTTGACTATACGGACCTTTGTCAGCAAAGTGAGGTCTCTGCTTTTTAAGATGCTGTCTAGGTTTGTCTTTCAAGGAACAAACATTTTTTAATTTCATGACTGCAGTCACTGTCCTCAGTGATTTTGGAGCCCAAGAAAATAAAATCTGCCACTGTTTCCATTTTTTTCCCCATCTATTTATCATGAAGTGATAGGATCGGATGCCATGATCTTAGTTTTTTGAATGTTGAGTTTCAAGCCAGCTTTTTCACTCTGCTCTTTCACCTTCATCAAGATGTTCTTTAGTTCCTCTTCACTTTCCGCCATTAGGTCAATATCATCTGCTTATCTGAGGTTGTTGATACTTTCCTGGCAATCTTGATTCCAGCTTGTGATTCATCCACCCTGGTATTTCACATGATGTACTCTGCATGTAAGTTAAATAAGCAGGGTGACAATATCCCAAAAATGACATTATTTCATTCTAAGAAAGGCTTTCTTTCTTTTTTTATTCAGGCAGCTAGCTTTTAAAAAAATTATTTATATATTTATGGCTACACTGGGTCTTTGTTATCATACATGGACTTTCTCTTTCTGTGCAGAAAGCACAGGTGTGAGGGGGAGTTCACCTCTAGTGGCAGTGTGTGGGCTTCTCATTGCAGTGGCTTCTCTTGTTGGGGAACATGGGCTCTAGGGCACATGAACTTCAGTACTTGCTGCACATGGGCTAGTAGTAGAGGCACAGTGGCTTAATTGTCCTGTGGCGTGTGGGATCTTCCTGGACCAGGAATCAGACTTGTGTCCCTGCATTGCAAAATAGATTCATGACCACTGGACCACCAGGGAAGCAAAAAAAAAAAAGAAAAGAAAAACCAGCTTTCTTAAGACAAGGACATTCACACTATCATTGAGCTTAGGAATGAATAGAACTGGAAGCTCCCTGGTGGTCCAGTGGTTAAGACTCAGCACTTTCACTGCTGAATGCCCGGGGTTCAATCCTAGGTTCGGGGGAACTAAGAACCTGCAAGGTGTGTGGTGCTGCAAAAAAATACATTAAAAAAAAAAAAGAAAAGAAAATGGGTAGGGGCTAATGCGATGCTTATGGAGTGCTATGCAGGGCGTGGCCATGTCTTCTAGGCTGGAAATGGAGATGTGAGGCACCCAGCCCTGAAAATCACAGCTAGCTCTGAGGGCCAGTCATGTCAGGAAAAAATGAATCTGTTAGGCAAACAAGTTAAAACAGGGGTCAATTTTGGGACCATGTTATCTGCAATGAAGTACATAAATCTCTGAAATGATTCCTGAAACTTCATTCTACATGAACAGGACATTCCCTAAATAGGAAAACCATGTCCCGTGACTCATAGGAATGTTCGGGATGACAAGCCAGCAGTTGTGGCTGCCTGCCAATGAGATCATGTCACCTGCTCTAAATATTCCAGTGGCTCCCATCCAACTCCATCATGCTCTGAATTAAAGCCCGATGGTCCCTTATGCTACCCCGAATCTCATCTCTAGGTCCTCCCCTCCTCCTCATTCTCCCTCATTCTTCTCCAGCCACCCCAAGGCTCCTGGAGGTTCCTGAGACCATCTGACATGCACTTCCTGAGAGTTCTAGTGAGCTCTGTCATACACTTGCTGTTGCTGGTCAGTTGCTAAGTAGTGTCTGACTTTGTGACCCCTCTGACTTTAGCACACTAGACTCCATGGGGGTCTCCAGGCAAGAATACTGGAGTGGGTTGCCATTTCCTTCTCCAGTCCTACACTTCTTTCCCCCCAAGATCTGCACAGCTCACCACTCACTTTGTCACCTACCTCAGCTCTGGCTAAAATTGCACTTTGCTTCCTGGTGGCTCAGCTGATAAAGAATCTGCCTGCAATGTGGGAGACCTGGGTTCAATCCTAGGGTTGGGATGATCCCCTGGAGAAGGGAACCCACTCCAGTATTCGGGCCTGGAGAGTTCCATGGACTGTATAGTCCATGCCGTCACAAAGAGTCAGACATGACTGAAGGACTTTCACTTTCACTTTTTCTCTATTTAGAATAGCAACCTTGGGACTTCCCTGCTGGTCTAGTGGCTAAGACTCTGTGCTGTCAATGCAAGGGGCACTGGTTCAATCCCTGGTCAGGGAACTAGAGTTCATATGCTGCAACTAAGAGTCGCATGCCACAATTAAACATTCCACAAGCCACAATGAAGATTGAAGATCCCACCTGTTGCTAACTAAGAGTCAAGGCAGCCAAATAAATAAATATTAAAGCAAATAAACAAAATAAGCAGCCTTTACCTCTAGTTCATAATGCATTCAAAGCCACTAAATGGGAACTGTCTATACCAAAACCCTGAGAAACACTAGCCATCAGATGCAATGATTTTGAGAACAGCTGCCAAATCCTTAGCTTTTGCATCTCTAGTAAATGTTGAAAGGCCTTTTCTTTCTAAAAAATTATTTTTAAGATATTGACTTTGCCACTCGTAAGATAGCCAAGATGCTGAAGCCACAGAAAGTGATTGAGCAGAATGGGGATTCTTTTACCATCCACACGAACAGCACCTTCAGGAACTATGTTGTGAAATTTAAAGTCGGAGAAGAATTTGATGAGGATAACAAAGGCGTGGATAACAGAAAATGCAAGGTAAAAATTATTTATTTACTTTTGGCTGTGCTGAGTCTTTGCTGCCTTGTGGGCTGTTTTCTCTAGTTGTAGCGATCGTGGCTACTCTCTAGTTTTGGTGCAAAGCCTTTTCATTGCGGTGGATTCTCTTGTTGCAGAGCACAGGTTCTAAGGCACATGGGCTCAGTAGTTGCGGCTCTCAGTCTCTAGAGCACAGGCTCAACAGTTTTGGTTCATGGGCTTAGTTGCCCTAAGGCATATGGGATCTTCCCTGATCAGAGATCGAATCTGTGTCTCCTGCATTGGCAGGTGGAGTCTTTACCACTGAGCCAGCAGGGAAGCCCGCAAGGCAAAAATTAAAGTCATGACATAGACTTTTAGTTTTGCAAGGTCTTTGACACCTTCTCTAGTCATATCTGAGGATGCTGCCAGAGCAAATCAGTATTTTCTCCCATCCCCAATGCAGAGCTTGGTCACCTGGGACAATGACAGACTCACCTGTGTGCAGAAGGGGGAAAAGAAGAACAGAGGCTGGACCCATTGGATTGAAGGGGACCAACTCCACCTGGTACTGGCCCTATTTTGTTCCTCTATTTTTTTAATTGAAATAGTTGACTTACAATGTGTGAATCTCTGCTGTACAATAGTGTGGCTCAGTTATACATACATTCATGCGTGCATGTGCACTAAGTTGCTTTAGTCGTGTCCGACTCTGTGCGAACCTAGAGACTGTAGTTCACCAGGCTCCTCTGTCCACAGGATTCTCTAGGCAAGAATACTGGAGTGGCTTGCCATGCCCTCCTCCAGACAGACAGGCAGACAGACAGACAGACAGATATATATCTATATAAATATATATAGAGAGATATATATTAGTATGTGTATGTATACACACGTTCTTTTTATGTTTTTTTTCCATTATGGTTTATCCCAAGACATTGAATGTAGTTCCCTGTACTATACGGTAGGACATTGTTGTCCATACACTCTATACATAATATTTTGCATCTATTAACACCAAACTACCAGTCCATTCCTCCTCCATCCCCACCCCCACCCTGTTGGCAATCACAAGTCTGTTTTCTGTCTGTGAGTCTGTTTGTGCTTCATTGATAAGTTCATTTCTGTCATATTTTAGATTCCATATATAAATGACATCAATTGACATTTGTCTTTCTCTTTCTGACTTACTTCATTCAGTAGGATAATCTCTAGTTGCATCCGTGTTGCTGCAAATGGCATTATTTTGTTCTTTATTATGGCTGAGTAGTATTCCATTGTGTATATATACTACATCTTCTTTATCTGTACATCTCTCAATGGACATATAGATTGTTTCCATGTCTTGACTATTGTGAATAGTGCTGCTATGAACATAAGGGTGCATGTGTCTCTTTGAATTATAGTATTGTCTGGATATATTCCCAACAGTGGGATTGCTGGATCATATGGTAATTTATTTCTGGTTTTCTAAGGAACCTCCATACTGTTTTCCATAGTGGCTGCACAAATTCACATTCCCACCAACAGTGTAGTAGGGTTCCTTTTTCTTCACACCCTCTCCAGCATTTGTTATTTGTAGACTTTTTATTGATGGTCATTTTTACTTTTGTGAGGTGGTACTTCATGTAGTTTTGATTTGCATTTCTCTAATAATTAGCAACGTTGAGCATGTTTTCATGTGCCTATTGGTCATTTGTATGTCTTTGTTGAAGAAATGTCTATTTAGGTGTTCTGCCCATTTTCAGGTTGGGTTGTTTGTTTTGTTGTTGTTAAATGTTCTTATTTTTTAAATGAGGTTAGGAAACCATAACCAGCAATCCTACCATCCCAACCCAACTGTTTTCAATTTGATGTCTTACCTTCCAGTCTGTGAGAGTATTCTGAGTTTTCATTTAATAGAAAAACATATTCTAACTCTCTAACAATTTTCCTGTTGTATTCATTTTGTGTTAGTTTAATCCATATAATAAAGTAGCCAACCAGCTGTGCACTATTCCGTCAGACTCATGAACTCTCATTTTAGTAAAATGTTTTCTTAATTGCAATGTCCAGAAATATTGTTTCAGGGTGTTTTCTGCTGACTCTTAAATTCACATAAATAGAGCTTTTTGCATCCATTCATTTATTTCCTTAGGAAGAATTTACAGAGGGGATCAGTGTTGTCCCAGACATCACTGCTTCTTGCTACTTTGTTGCCTTATTCACTTCCAAAAGGGGTATATCAATTTCTTAAGCCACCAGAACTCCAAGACTATACAAGTTATAGGTCAACCTAATCAATAATTTCTAAATATAATCTATAAAGTATAAAATTATGCATAAAGGCTTAATTATGGCTTTTAAAAAGAGAATTCCTTCTTGCCATATATGTGTATTACAATGGCTTACATTTTCGAATGATGACTTTATGTGCAATTACTTAGTTAAATCCTTTGAGGGCATTTTCTGGCTTAGTCTTCAAACCAATCCTGTGACAGGGACACTATTTTTTTCCCATTTACAAATGACGAGATTGAGGTTTAGAAATTCCCCAAGATGCAGAGTAAAGATTCAAATCTAGGTCTGACGAGAATGTGTGCTTTCAACTCTATGCCTTTTTGGTCCCAATGTACACGTGAAACCTAGGTCAGATCCATGAAGACAAAATTAGAGCACTCAAAGTGTGGGTGGTCTTTGAGGTGGTGGTCTTTGATTACGAAGGCATTGAAGATACTTCGATTCTTAGATGGACAAACCTCACACTCTTCTGGCAATAAAAACAAAGGTAAGAAACTTACCATCACAAAAATGTAGTGTGGAACTACAAAGGAAACACAAATGTGTTTAAGAATGAAGATTACGTGGCTGTAAGAAGTAATGTTCAAAGTGCTGCATCCTTCTTTGCATGTCCAATAACTCTGTCCAAGCAGAGGGCAGAAGGACCCTTGGTCTAAGGACATTCTCGGGATGATTCTTATTGTTGCTGTTGTTCGATTGCTCAGTCATGTCTGACTCTTTGCAACCCATGGTCTGCAGCACACCAGGCTCCCCTGTCCTTCACCATCTCCCGGAATTTGCTCAAACTCATGTCCATTGAGATGGTGATGCCATCCAGCCATCCCATCCTGTGTTGTCCCCTTCTCCTCCTGCCTTCAATCTTTCCCAGCATCAGGGGATTTTTCAGTGAGTTGGCTCTTCCCACTGGGTGGCCAAAGTATTGGAGCTTTAGCTTCAGCATCAGCCGTTCCAATGAATATTCACAATTGATTTCCCTTAGGATTGACTAGTTTGATCTTCTTGTTGTCCAAGGGACTCTCAAGAGTCTTCTCCAACACCACAGTTCAAAAGCATCAATTCTTCAGTGCTCAGCCTTCTTTATGGTCCGACTCTGACATCTGTACATGACTATTGGAAAAACCATAGCTTTGACTAGATGGACATTTATCACCAAAGTAACATCTCTGCTTTTTAATATGCTGTCTAGGTTGGTCATAGCTTTTCCTCCAAGGAGCAAGCATCTTTTAATTTCATGACTGTAGTCACCATCTGCAGTGATTTTGGAGTCCAGGAAAATAAAGTCTGTCACTCTTTCCATTGTTTCCGCATCTATATGCCATGAAGTGATGAGACCAGATGCCATGATCTTAGTTTTTTGACTGTTGAGTTTTAAGCTGGATTTTTCAACTCTCATCTTTCTCCTTCATCAAGAGGCTTATGATTTTTATAAGCTGTGATATAATGAAAACCAATGAATATTTGGCCTTTGTACCTGGTTCTTAAAACTCCTGGAATCTCTAGAGTAACAGGAGTATCTTCTGTATGCTAATGAGATGAATGTTGGCTGGGGACCCTAAAGAGCTTCAGGATGTGGGCTGGTCTGAAGAAAGATCAAGGGAGGATTAGAAGGTTGGAACATTCAACCCAGCCTCTGAACTCAGGTGAGGGGAGAGGGATTAGAGATTGACCATTACCTTAAGCAATCATGCCTATGTAATGAAACCTCCATAAAAACCTTGACATCAATGAGTTCATGGATCATGGAGAAAGCAAGGGATGTTTCAGGAAAACATCTACTTGTGCTTCATTGACTACACAAAAGACTTTGACTGTGTGGATCACAATAAACTGTGGAAAATTCTTAAAGAGACTGGAATTCCAGACCACCTTACCTGTCTCCTGAGAAACCTGTATGTGGGTCAAGAAGCAACAGTTAGAACCTTACACGGAATAACTAACTAGTTCAAAATTGGGAAAGGAGTATGAAAAGGCTGTATATTGTCACCCTGCTTATTTAACTTCTATGCAGAGTACATCATGTGAAATGCTGGGCTGGATGAATCACAAGCTGGCATCAAGATTGCTGGCAGAAATTATCAACAACCTCAGATATGCAGATGACGCCACCCTTATGGCAGAAAGTGAAGAGGAACTAAAGGGCCTCTTGATGAGGGTGAAAGAGGAGAGTGAAAAGCTTGCTTGAAACTCAATATTCAAAAAACTAAGATCATGACATTTGGTCCCATCACTTCATGGCAAATAGAAGGGGAAAAACTGGAAGCAATGACAAATTTTATTTTCTTGGGCTCCAAAATCACTGTGGCTGCTGACTGCAGGCATGAAATTAAAAGACGTTTGCTCCTTGGAAGTAAAGCTATGACAAACCTGTGTGTGTGTGTGCATGCTCAGTCACTCAGTTATGTCTGACTCCATGGACTGGACCCTGGGCTCCTCTGACCATGGAATTTTCCAGATAAGAATACAGGAGTGGGTTGCCATCTCCTACTCTAGGGGATCTTCTGGACCCAGTGTTCAAACCCACATCTGCTGCATCTCCTGCATTGGCAGGTGGATTCTTCACCACTGTGCCACCTGGGAAGCCCCATGACAAACCTGGACAGTGTACCAAAAAGCAGAGACATCTCTTTGCCAACAAAGGTGTGCATAGTCAAAGCTATGATTTTTCCAATAGTCATGTGTGGATGTGAGAGTTGGACCCACAAAGAAGACTGAACACTGAAGAACTGATGCTTTTGAATTGCTGTGCTAGAGAAGACTCTTGAGAGTCTGTTGGACTGAAAGAAGGTAAAACTTAGTCAATCCTAAAGGAAATCAACCCTAAATATTCATTGGAAGTACTGTTGCTAAAGCTGAAGCTCCAATACTTTGGCCACCTGATGTGAAGAGCTGACTCATTGGAAAAGCCCCTGATGCTGGGAAAGACTGAATGCAAATGGAGAAGGGGACAACAGAGGATGAGATGGTTAGATAGCATCACTAACTCAATGAACATGAATTTGAGCAAAATTAGGGAGATAGTGGAGGATAGAGGAGCCAGATGTGCTATAGTCCATGGAGTCACAAAGAGTTGGACGTGCCTTAGCAACTGAACAATAAAGGAGTTCAGAGAACTTTCTAGTTGGTGAGGACATAGAAGTGCTGGAAGGGAGTTCTGCTAGATTAGTCATGGAAGCTTTGTATGCCCCACTCCCACCCCCACCACAATACCTTCTCCTATGCCTCTCTTCCATTTGGCTTTTCCTGAGTTGCATTCTTTATAATAAACCTGTAAGTATAAGCAAAAAGTGTTTCTGTGAGCCATTCTAACAAAGTATTGAACCTGAGAAGGAAGTTGTGGGAATCCCCGATACGGGATGATCAGTCAGATGTATGGGTGACTTGTGATTGATGTCTGAAGTAGGGACAGCCCTACTTAGTCTTATGAGACTAAGCCCTTGACCTGTGAGGTCTACACTAGCTCTGATCCTTAGTGTCCAAACTAAATTGTTGGCTGTCCAATTTGTTATAAGAGGGTTGGAGATGTGGGATTGGAAAAGACACCATGTACCTGGTGTCAGAAATATGACTAATAATAATAACAGCTGCTGCTGCTGTTCAGTTGCTCAGTCATGTCTGACTCTTTGCTACTCTTTGGACTGAAGCTCACCAGGCTCCTCTGCCCGTGGGATTCTCCAGGCCAGAATACTGGAGTGAGTTTCTATTTTCTTCTCCAGGGGATCTTCCTGACCCAGGGATCGAACCTGAGTGTTCTGTGTCTCCAGCTTACAGGTGGATTCTTTATCTGCTGAGCCATCAGGAAAACCCCAATAATAATAGAGTATATGCCAACTCATCTCTGTTCTCTCTTCCTCCCTGTCCCTAGGAACTGTTCTGTGAAGGACAAGTGTGTAAGCAGACGTTCCAGAGAGCTTGATCTGTATCCAACTGCAGAGTCCACATGTGGGGACAGCTTGATGAATTATATTCCAGAATGAACAGGACAGGAATGATCTGTCAGGGTTTGGTGGATGGGGCCTTGTGATCAAAGAGACATCCACACAGCCTATACCAGAAGCCATTTGGATTGTGAGAAAAATTCTCAGCTTCAATAAACCTGTCCAATGGTTTTGACTTTTTCCTTCTAACTTTAACATATCTCTTTATTTTCAGAAATATTTGGAAGACTTCTAAGCACACCATTGACACATCAGTGATGAACAAGTTGTAATTCCCACCTTCCAAGGAGTGGGCAAGTGGTGGTAGGGGCCTGGGGTATTTCTGGAAGTAATCTTTAAGCTGGGACCTGAAGAAAATGTAAGCAGGAAGTATCAGGAAGCACTCTAGTCAAAAGTTGGAGGAATGTTTGAAGAACTGAAAAGATTGCTTTAACTGTTGCTTAGGGTGTGTTGGGTGGGATAGGGTGGGGAGACATGGCAGGGGTAACTGACATGACAGTCAGTGGCTCTACCGTGAAGTATCTTGAATGCTAGGGTAAAGAGGTGAGATTTTTGTCCCTAAAGTAATAGGAAGATGGTGACCTGTATTAAGCAGATATGTACAACCAGGTTGTACATGTCACAGAAAGTAACTCTGGGGACTTCTATGGTAGTCCCATGGTTAAAAACTCACTTTCCAGTGCAGAAGATGCAGGCTCAATCCCTGGGCAGGGAACTAAAATCCCATGTGTCCCAACTAAAGAGAAGCCCATGCACTGCAACTGAAACCGGATGCAGCCATAAATAAATAAATATATGCCTTAAAAATAAAATAAAGTAATTCTGACTGCTGAGGGAAGAAAGCATTGTAGGTGGGGGATGCAACTCAAGAGGCAGTTTAGAAAACCCGATAGAAATCAGAGTGTAAGCTGACATTGTTCAGGATCACCCAGAGCCCAGGTCTGAAAAATAGAGAAATAGACTCTTGGGGCTTGGAGAGAAGTAACAAGGTATTTAGGAGGCAGAATCTATAATCCAAGGAGATGGATGCTGGCTAGGGGAAGAATCAAGGAGGTGCTCTGTTTTGGATCAGGCAGTTATGGGAAGGTTGAGGCCCATCAAAAGAAAATAACATGACTTCTCTGGTGGCTCAGTGGTAAAGAATCCACCTGCCAATTGTCGACTTAAAAAAGATGTACAATTGAGAGTTGTGAGTTAAGTTTTAATTGAGGCAAAATGAGGACTGCAGCCCAGGAGGCAGCATCTCAGGTAGCTCTGAGAGACTGCTCCAAAGTGGCAGTGGGGGAAAGTCAATATATAAGGTTTTGGTGAAAGGGGAGTTCAATACCATGAAGCACTCGATTTATAAAAGGTTTTTTGTTAGTCATGAGGGTCTGATGTCACCAAGAAGGGATTTAGTGCTTCTCTGGATATGAGGAGATGCAAGGATTGAGATAATAAAGTCTGTTCCTAAAAACATCCAACTATCTAAAGACCTGTCCCACCAGATTCCCTGGAGCACAGAGTGCCTCATGCCACCGTGAACTCTCTTGGGGATTGTTGAAGGTCAACAGCTATAGCAGCATGGAGTTCAGTCTCCGTAGAGGCAGATGGCAAATGCCTTTGTTGTTCAGTCATTGGCAATGCTCTTGGTAAGTGCCAGTTTGTAGTTGAGACAATGCAGAAGATCCCACATGCCACAAGCAACTAAACCCATGCACCACAACTGTTGAACCCATGCTCTAGAACCCGTGAGCTGCAACAACTGAAACCTGAGCACCCTAGAGCCCATGCTCCACAATGAGAGAGGCCACTGCAGTGACAAGCCCGCACAAAGCAACTAGAGAGTAGCTTCCCACTCTCTGCAACTAGAGAAAAGCTCAAGCAGCAATGAAGACTCAGCATAACCAAAAATAACTAACTAAATAAAACTTTGGAGAAAGGGGATGGTATGAGCAGAAGTGAAGTCAGAACTTCAGTTTCTGAAGTGCTTGTGCCCAGTGAAAGCCAGGCTGCCAGGAGACAATAAATAAAAGACTCCACAGACATGAACAAGTTGTTGATAGCTTATGGTGAATGGTGTTGGATTTGTGATCTCCAAAGAAGATTTAACTTTGGGCCAGGGACCAGGCCTGGTGACTCAAGAGCTTTTGTATAGCAGAGTTTTATTAAAGTTAAAAGGGACAGAGAAAGCTTCTGACACAGATATCAGAAGGGGGATGGAGAATGCCCCCCTCACTAGTGTTAGCCAGGGAGTTATATACTTTTTAATTAAGTATTACAATAAATCAAAAAAATGTCTCATTTGTGAAAATTTTACCAGACCCACTCCCACAATTTACATTTTAGGATAACAGGATTAGAATTTAACAATAGAAAGGTCCTACCAGACCTACTCCCATAATATACAATCTAAGATATCAGGATTAGTCAGAAGGTTTTCAGAAAGGAAAAACTATTCTCAAGCATATACACTGTTGTTATATAATCCCTAGTATAGAGCTTAAACTGAGTTGCTTGTTGTGTAATCATCAGCTCTGGGCTTAAAGAAAAAAACATTTTATGTGACTAAGACTAAGGAATGTAGAGGGGAAAAAAAGTTTGTTCTTTCCTCCTCCTTGATAACCCCAGACCCCTCTCTCCTCAGGGACCCCTGGACTTCTTATCAACCTGCCTAGGAATTGACTCTCTCATTGTGAAGCGTATAAACTATGCATATGGATGATACATATAAACTATGCAGTGTCTGGGACATTGTATTTAAAGAGAGAGAAACCTGAGGTACAAATCTCACAGTCCCGTGAGGGGCTAGAGAAGTAAGATGGCATCAGGGAAGCGAAGGAAGGAAATATTTCAGGGTTGAGGAGTGTTGAGCATTTGCTGAGATGCCCAAGGTATCCATAAGGTGAGACAGAGGATTTTTCCATGTGGGTGAGGATGGTTTAACAGTGCAACTGGTCCTGAAGATGCACACAAAGGGTTATGGAACCAGGAGAGGTGAAGGGGTACAGACAGTGAGAAGCCGAAGGAATGTGGTGGTAGGACTTCCCTGGTGGTCCGGTGGTTAAGAATCCACCTGCTAATGCAGAAGACATGAGTTCGGTCCCTAGGCCAGGAAGATCCCACATACCCTAGGGCAACTAAGCCACAACAACTCTAGAGCCTGTGCTCTGCAACAAGAGAAGCCACTGCAATGAGAAGCTTACATATTGCAACTAGAGAGTAGTTCCTACTTGCTGCATCTAGAGAAAGCCTGCTTGCAGCAATGAAGACCCAGCACAGTCATAAATAAATAAGTAATAAAAATGGTTAAAAAATAAAAAAGAAGGAAGGTGGTGGTAGTGTCAGGGAATCTTAGCAGGGAGCAACTTGGTAAGATGGGTGGAACTGATGGACCATAGAGCCCCTTCCAGATAAGGCAAGTCAGGGAAGGGTTACAGTTAGGACTTGGCAGCCACTGCGTGCTAGGCTCTAAGCTGGGCTTTAGGGATTCCATGGACAACAGCAGAGGAAAGGTCTGGGCCTCTGAGGAGCTTATAGTCTGCTGGTGATGACAGAAATTTATAGGAAGTTAAAGTCTGAGTATCAGGTACAACTCTTGTTTTAAGTGTAGATGAAAAATATGGCCTGCCATTTCAGTAAACCAAGGATATTCCAGCCATCAAGCCATCAGACACTACAGCTGCCCCCAACTGTACACCCTGAGGGGATTAATTAAAGAAAAAAAATTTAACAGTAATCTTTTGATGTCCTGACTACCTGGTTTGCAAAAACTACTATACATTCTGGCTCCCACTTTACTTCTTCAGAGTAGTCTCTCAGAGCTGAGAGGTGGTGTCCCCGGCTAAGTCCTCGGTACGGTGGCCAAATAAAACATAATTCTCAAATTTTAGGTTGTGCATTTCAGTTTACATGAGTAACAGACACCAAGTTGTTAGTTTGACTTTAGAAGCAGCGAGCTTGCAGCCAAATGAAGTCAGAAGACAATTGTAGATTCAATTAGATATTGTAATCCCACCATATAGAAAGAACATGAGATTTTTTTTTTTTCAGGATGTTATTGTTCATTGTTCACATGCTAAGTTGTGTTGGAATCTTTGCCACCCATAGGTTACACACCAGGCTTTCCTGTCCTTCACTATCTCCTGCACTTTGTTCAAACTTGTGTCCATTGAGTCAGTGAGGCAATCCAGCCATTTCATCCATTCTTGTCCCCTTCTCCTCCTGCCCTCAATCTTTCCGAGCATCAGGGTTTTTCCAATGAGTCAGTTCCTTCCATCAGGTGGTCAAAGTATTGGAGCTTCAGTTTCAACATCAGTTCTTCCAATGAATATTCAGGGTTGATTTCGTTTAGGATTGACTGGTTTAATCTCCTTGCTGTCCAAGGGACTCTCAAGAGTCTTCACCAGAGCTACAATTAAAAAACATCAATTCTTTGGCACTCAGCCTACTTTATGGTCCAACTCTCAAATCTGTACATGACTACTGGAAAAATTATAGTTTTGACTATACAGACCTTTGTTTCCAAAGTAATGTCTCAGCTTTTTAATACACTGTCTAGCTTTGTCATAGCTTTTCTTCCAAGTAGCAAACATCTTTTAATTTCATGACTGCAGTCGCTGTCCGCAGTGATTTTGGACCCCAAGATGTTGTAACCACGTGTTCCGGGAAACAAACTCACTCAGAAGGACAATGTAGATAGTGGAGTGCAGTTTATTACTCCTCTTAGCCAAGGACACCGACCAGTTTTTGTGAAAACCTTATATACCCTAAGTATACTTGCTCAAACCCACCTCCCTAAATTCCTTGAAACTAGTCTGACAAGGTAAAAGAGAGATACGATCAAAGTTAACCCATGATTCATGTGTCACAAGACTAGATAAACAGTGGATATTTATCAATAGGCCTGTGGTCATATCCAGATAAACATAATGGAATTTACCACTTTGTTCTGTTACAGAGATAATTAGCATATTCTTTTAGGCAACGGAGAATCCAAGTACAAGTCCTGAGGCTCTCTCATCCAGGGGGTCTGGTTTTCCATTGGTGTGCCATTTCTATAGACACCTGGGCACAAAGTTCAGAGTCCACTCAGAGGGTGACCATGAGTGTAGCCTAGTGTTCGCAGCCTGGCCTAAGATGGAGTCCAGCTCTGTCTGTTTCCTCCTTCAAAGAAAATAAAATCTGCCACTGTTTCCACTTTTTCCCCATCTATTTGCCATGAAGTGATGGGACTGGATGCCATGATCCTAATTTTTTGAATGTTGGGTTTTAAGCCAGATTTTTCACTCTCCACTTTCACCTTCATCAACAGATTCTTTAACTCCTCTTTGTTTTTTGCCATTAGGGTGGTATTATCTGCATATCTGAGGTTGTTGATACTTCTCGAAG